TCAAAAAGAAAAATAAATTAAGCTGGTGAATGGTACTACTGAATTTTAAGTCTGAAGCAATCTTTATTACAGAACAGTTTTTTCAAAATATTAAATTAACAATTGATCTCTTCATATTCCTGGAAATACACATCTATCAGAAGCATAGTTTCAGATATTTGAAACTTCATCCATTTCTGACTTTCATTTGCCAAATAAATTGTCTGTTTTTAGAAGAGCTTAAAGACTGATGCACAAATTATAACTGTCTAAACAATATTTCAGGTAACTTTGAGCACACAAACACATGTTATGGGCAAGGTAATTGGTAACAGAAAGGTCTTTCCTTGTCATGAGGCAGCAGGAGGCCTGAATACGCAGCTAGATTAGCAGTGGGCAAGTGTACTTAGACTAATGGGTCTTGGTGGTACCAGGTTAACCTTTGGTCACTTAGTAATAGACCTTATTGTCATTTTTTTTTCCCCTTTTCTTAATCCATTTGAATAAGTCATTGCAATTTTTCCTGGGGTTTTGACAATTTATCCAAAATCTGGATAGCTCTGTATTTACATATTTCCAGTTGAGTTAAATAGGCCTTGCTGGAAAAGTGTGGTTAAAGAATACAGTTTTTAGATAGATTTACAAGTCTTCATGCCCTTGAATTAGACAAAGAACTCAACATCAATGGAAATTTAAGATGCAGCCTTCAGTAGAAACAGTGAAACAGTGCTCTGAAAGTTTGAAAGATTTGATAAACACGGAAAAAAAATCAATAGGTAGCAAAGACGAAGTTTCATCAGAGCATTCAGCCTAAAAAGTATTAAATAACTTAAACTTTTGTGTAGTTTAGTGGGAAATCAAGTTTGCTAGGGAGCTCTGGAAAGTCTATCAAGACTTTGAAAGATAGACCTTCTCATGCTAATTCAAGTAATTATACTCATGTAAACTCAGTTTGGAAAGAGAATCTGTGTGTGTTGGTGAAATCTGCTGTTCAAGTTTACTGCTGAATAGGAATGAAGAGTTGATAAATGCACAAATACACTGGGTTTTTATGCTGCTTGAAATACACAAAGGAACATTTGATAATATTTCAGAAAAATTTCAGAACAAAATGTGCATGTGGCAGGGCTGAGCAGATGACAGAGGGTCAGATTTTTTATTATAATTTCCTTTCGCTGCTCTTCTGACATTGCAGAGCTGTACAGAATCATACTCATTCCATTTTTCTATACTGAATGAAGGATAGCATGAGGATGGGATGGGGATAGTAGAGGATAGGATTTAATACATGTTGCCAAGTTCCTTCTGTCCATTACTGATAGAAACTTGTCTTCATGCAGATGTATGAAAGGAAATGTAAAAGCTTAGAATTACTGCAGCTAACAAATACACATTATTACAATTGCTTTTAATTAATTACCATCTCACGTGAAAAGCGTTCACTGGCATAAATTTTAGAGATACTGTGTAATGTCAGCACCAGAATCTCTCAGAAGTAGGGCATCAGTCTCCAAATACCAGTATTTCAGTACAACTTTATACAACTGCCTGTCCTCCTGTAATTGATCTTGCATATTGCTTATATGTTACAATTCATTTTTCCATGACATTTACAAAGTAAATTTACAAAGATTTCATTTCTTTTTTTATGTGTACTCAGTTCATTCTTTTCAAATATTTTTAAAATCCATTTTAAAATCTTGGATTGATTTTGTACCAGGTTCTTCACTGGAAGTCTGAATTGATTGATTGCTTCCTTATTTTTCAAGATAATTTGAGACACTGATTTGTTTTAAGTCTGTAAGTCAGTGTCAAAATACATTAATCTTACTGAATTTTAGCTCTTTTCTAAATCGTTACAGCTGTTCTGTTCTTATTTCATAGTTGCATAATTTTATGTTGTCTTATTTACCTTTAATAGGAACTAAATTTTTTAAATGTGTATCATAAATTATTCTTCTGCATCCTGACATATATCTTTTGCATCCTGGTTACGTAACGTCACAGGTGCTTGTCTCTCAAGTTATTTGCTTAAAATAATAAAACCAAGGAAGCTTCAGTCCCATGGAAAAAAATCCTAGTTCTGTTTTGCCACTTTGTAATACACTGAAAGGAAGCAGTAGTTACAACTCTCTAGCCACAGCTGAGAGGATTTCCTTGAAGAGTTCTAATTCCAGAGGAAGAAACATTTTTTTTTCCTGTTAAATTGGATGACAAAACTAAGGAATTAGTTAAAATACCCAACTTGTTTTCTTCCTGTTTTGTTTGGTTTGGGTTTGGCATTTGTTGTTCTTTTTTTAGAGGGTGGGGTGGGGTAGGGTGTTTTGAGTCTTCTTAACATTCTGCTTCACAGACAATAAAGACAAGGAATTCATTAGGCATTTCCTGAGCTGCTTCAGTAACTCAAGGAGCTTTCCCAATATATCTCAATATCAATTAAGTTACTTTTGGATTTATCAGTGAAAATTGTAATATCTCTACTGCTTTTTGGGGGTCAATACACAAGTCAATGAATTGATATATTGTCAGTGCTCTCTTTTAAAACTAGCAATCACAGTACCCACGTGCACATGAAGAAGTTGAAATTAAACAGACTATCACTAGGCATGACAAATCTCACCTCAGGAATTAAGAGAAACCACTGAAAGCTGCAATTGTAGTATTTGGAGATGACCTTCAAATCTGTCGGTTTATTTCTGGAACAACAGCTGATGTTTATGTTGTATGTCATTGTATCATTAGAACTGATACACATCTGTTCCATATTTCATCATCTGGAAAGGCCAATTAAAAAGAGTAGTCCAAAATGTTAGATTTAGTTTCTAACAGTAACATAGCAAGGAAGTAGTAATTAATCATGTGTACATCTTAAAATGAAATTTGGGAGCAACCTAATAGATTTAAACTCAGCTTATCCTTATATGCTGCCATTTGAGACTGTTTCTAATTATTTTTTCCTACTGCTTTTCCAATGGTTTTTCATTCTCTCATTTTCACTAGAGACTTTTTGGTCAAACTCTTTTCTCACTTATACCAGTGTAAATCTGGAGTAAGTCCTTTGCATTTAATTGAATTATTCTTGATTTACTTTAGTGAGTCTGAGAACAGAATATTACCCTTTTTCTTTAGCAGTAACCAACCTGTCCTTCTTAATTTTGAAACCACACTTAATCAAGCTTAGGTAGAAAAAAGTCTCCAAAGTTTGAATAGGCTAAGTTTTCTTGTTAGGAAAAGATATCCCTTAAACAAGACAGCGTTCTGCCTTCCTACTTGATAGAAAGATGTTGCACTGAATGGCTTGGGATTTTAAATTACCTGCCAAACAGGATTTAACTCTGGATGCCTCAGAAGTAACCTGATCCTGCTATTGGAGAAGAAGAAATCAGTTGCTTTTGTATTGTATCTTCCTAATGTCAATCACAGAGGAAGACTTTGTGCTGTACCCACAGACAGTGGTGTGGTTTGTAGGTAAGAAGATTTACTGGTCTCTCAAGATTATTGTAATGGCTGCTGCCCATCAGCACCATGAGCCTCAGAATAATACCATGACTGTGACTCTTCTGTGGTCCCCAACACTGTCCCACAGCAGCATGAAATATTATTAGAGATCAGAAGGCAATTGAAATGGGGTATTATGGGAACAGAAAATCAAATGCATTGTTTATTTTCAGGAAAAAAGATCATAAAGTAAAATTGTTTAGATTTTGAACTGTCAATGAAAATATAGCCTGTAACGTATCTTCACTGTTTTTCCTCTCGTTTTCTTGAAATATTTCTATAGAGATTGCCTGCCATATCTTCCAGCCCTTCTTCCAAGAAGATTGTAACTGTTGTCAGAAAAGAAAAAAAATATGGGTCAATATATTTGGCAGATAAAATTTTCAATAGAGAATAGTCATTTTAGGAGAGCTATTTCTGCTAACTGATTTTTATGAGTTTCCCTACTTTCCTGAAAACTATTATTTTTATCAGAATCTCTGCTTGGGCACCTCAAGTCTGAGCTTTCCCAGACATTAATTAGTTTGAAAATACAGCATTTTTTAAGGCACTTTTACTTCCTAGAGGCATCACAATCATACATTAGTTGTTTTATCTGCCCTAGAAAAGATGTTTTTAAAGCAGACACCAAAGGTCCTGATGAAATTTGTTTAGGACTGCCTAAGACCCTTATACCCAAAAGCCAGAAGAATTTAAACAAAAAGGTTGTTTCTATTTGAATCATCGAAGTAAACTACTAAAGTATAAATTATGGCACTTGAAATAGAAAGTCATTGTTTTGGTAGTCCTGCATAAGCATGCCAGAATTTTGTTCTAAATAATTTTTAAAAGCACAGTTTCTGTGGACTCTGCTGCACATTCTCCCATGAAGTAGAGTATGTTTGCAAATTCCTATGCAGAACTAGGAAGGAGGAGCGGAGAACAGATCCTTTAGGGGGTGACGGATCAGCCAGTCTTCACATGACAAAATTCACAGATCACCAATCAACAATTTTAGGCAGGAGCTTTTTCATCATCTTCATTGCTAGGGGCAGTGGGTGCAAGCTGGAGCATAGGAGGTTCAATCTGAACGTGAGGAAAAACTTTTTTACTGTAAGGGTAACAGAGCACTGGACCAGGCTGCCCAGAGAGGTTGTGGAGTCTCCTTCTCTGGAGACATTCAAAACCCGCTTGGACACATTCCTGTGTGACCTGGTCTGGGTGATCCTGCTCTGGCAGGGGTGTTGGACTGGATGATCTTTCGAGGTCCCTTCCAACTCCTAATATTCTGTGATTCTGTGACTAGTGGCAGTTGTTTAGGTCATTGTGAACAGCCCTCACCCACAAATTGAGAAAGAGGGATTAATTCCTCTGTCTTTGTTGCTGAACTGTGCTTCTCCGCTCCTGTATCAACTACATGGAGTGGGTTTTGTCATGAGAGAGAGAGACCAAAATTACAAGACATTGTTAAAGTTTTTTATTATTAATTTTTTGTTGTACCCTTCATATTCGGAAAGTTTATTTTCTTCTTGTTGCTGTTACAGCGACGTCCAAGCAGATGGCCGGCAATGAAATTCAGAAGAGGATCTGGACATCCTGCCTATGCTGAAGTGGAACCTGTTGGAGAAAAAGAAGGGTTCATCGTATCAGAGCAGTGCTAAAGTATCTAGGACAGAACACCAGTACTGGCCTACAGGTGTAAGACATTTACTTTGCCTCTGTTTAATGAAAAGGAGCCCTAAGCTGCTGTAGCCCAATAGAAGATTTTGGATAAGCTTTGTCCAAGAAGAAGAACTGTCTAAAATACCAGATTACCACTGCACGGTAGTTTTTGTTAGTGGACTGAGACACAACAGTTCATGCAGAACACTTGTCAGTGGACACTTACGGTATCAGAACTATGGCAAAAGTGCCATGTTATTGGCTTTAGGTTTGGGGATGCACAGTAATCAAGAACATAATAAAGTTTTGGTGCACAAGGGTATTGCCCTTTGGTTCAAGTGTTCTTCTCTGGTATCTCAAAGACAGAGAGCACTAATCAGTGTTCACAAGTGATCAAGGAAAGTATCTCAACGCAGGTAAAGAAGTAAAAAAGGAATTTTCCAATCTTTCTGTAAGTGAGTGTGAAATGCACTCACTTTTCAATTCTAAATTAACCTACCCACCGAACTGAGCGAGTCACAATGTATATGCTTTCCAGGAGTAGTACAATGTTCCATGTACATTGCTGATTGCTATCCTTCTAAACAACTCATGATGTACAAATTGGTAAGAAATGAAGACAATGAAGAATTCTCACAATGGTAAAATTATTTTATTTCATGGGAGTTCACAGTGAAATTGGGCTGATTTTCAGTTTCAGTGTTCACTAAAAATTATCAGGTTGTTTCACTTCTGAGCAAAAGGCTGAAGTAAAGGCAACAGATCCTTCTAGCTGCCAGACATCTTATGGACCATTTCTTAGGCAATGTGATACGAAAAACAAGATTTTAAACAAATGTGTTTCTATCCTTAGCCATTTCTTTGTGAGTCCTTACTGAGAAGCACCACAGACTTCGGTGCACCCCTCCCAGAGATTCAGATACAAGTGTTATTGAACCCTGCTGATTCATACAGTGATTTTGTTTAATGCACATAGTAGTTGCATAAATATATATATAAATATATTTTTTTTTATAGCTAACACAAGGCAGGCTCTTGTGACTGTTAAGACTGCATTTTTGTCATCCAGACAAAGGAAATGGATTGCATTACTGCATATTTCCACTGAGTTGTAAAATAATCCTTAATATTAGAATATTTTTATG